GGGGGGGGGATGTTGAGGTGGGTTTGGAGATGCGCAAGTAAGGTATGGTATGGCCGCGTGCTGATATAGGGGTTGGGTGTGATTGGATGAGCTGGGTTGGGTTGGGAGGGTGCTAGGGCGTCTGGAACGGAGCGGCGCTGGATTGGAATGTATGTATGTTCTCAATCTCATTGTTCGATTAACTACTCTGTCCTTCCGAGCGGCCGTTTGAAAAAGCTGACGTGACCGTACCACATGTGCAACGGATCCCCATTCGCAACGTTCTAACTCTCTATCCCTATCCAAATCATCAAGCCCCTAATTTTAGCTCGCTGTCATTTTGCAAAATATTCATCAAAACCAGCAGCACAGAGAATGATCGAATGGCCAGAATCAAGCAATGTTGGTTTACAAGATGACAATCTCAGTTATTTCAATCAATTATATTTCCAGAATAACGCCAGCAACGTTTGCATAACCGAAACACTATGCCAGAACGCCACGCAATTTCTGTTGCGAATGGAATGGAGATCCGTTGCACATGTGGTCCGGTCCCGTCACGAAGTGATGGCTATGAAATGAGAGATGAGCGGTAGAGATCTATCATACAATACCAACGACACGACCCATCTAAAACCCAACGGGATGTCCGTCTTTCCCTCGCTCCAAACGCCCAGCTCAATGCGCCAAAATCTTAAACGTCATGTCGCGATAATTGCCGCCATTCAAGGCCTGAATCTCGCTCCTGACCGTCTGAAAGACGTCTCTGGACCACACCAAATACGGCCGCATGCGCTGCGGCGTGCGCTCCCAGATCTTCTCCCCCCACTCGACCGTGCCCAGCAACGTCCTCGCCTTGGTCGCATCGTTCAGCGCCGGGAACTCGTGCACCAGCAACGGCACCATGAGCATCTGCAGGGCCAGGAAATGCGCCATGAGCAGCTGCGCGGGCGTGTTGTGCGGATCGACGAAGACGGCGAACTGGTCGTGGCTCATGTCCCAGAGGGTGGCGTAGAGGCGGACGAAGTTGAGGTAGCCGGCCTTGGGCGACTGCTGGAGGGCCAAGAGGGCAGATGACAAGGAGGCGTGGAACTGGTGGTCCATGGTTGTGCGGAGGAGCGGGCGGAGCGCTTCGACGGCGAGGACGGCCGGGGTGATCAGGGTGGGGGATATGTTGGGGAAGTGCTCGAGCCGGGGCAGCATGATGCGGAAGTGCATGTTCTGGTCGAGGTTGAAGGCGGTCCGGGTTTCTTGTTTGTAGATCTGCTCGGTCACCAAAGCGCAGCCGCGCACCATGGTGATGAAATCCGTCATGCCGTCGCCCATGTACGAGGCTTGGAAGGTGAGGGCGTAGCAGGCGGCCAGGAGGGCGTCGGATTCGCCGTAGCTTCGGCTTTCCTTGGCCAGCGCTTCGTTGAGGCCTTTGATGGCTTGGCCCTGGTGGATCATGGCGGTGGTGCTGTAGTCGGTTTGGGGCGACATCCGCGTCAGGTGGGATGCACCCAGCGCAAGGAGAGCATGCATCAGATACTCATGCTAGTTAGATACCATCAGCTAGAGTACGTTGTGATGGTCGTGGAGCTTCGTACTTGTTGCGCAAAGATTGGAATGTCCTGCACCCAGACCGAGTCGTTGCCCAGTGGCAGATGGGGATAAGCAACAGTCAGGAAGTGATGGAAACAACGCATATCATCCATGTTGAAAGAGGTTGGGGGTGAGAGGGTAGCTGGGAGCTTGGGTTCATCATGTCGAACCACCGCCCGGTTGGGTCTCGATGCACATGATGGGCGGCGTACAATCTTCGTGGTTGCCTGCGATGGATATTCACATTTTAGTTCCTTGACCAGACAATTCTCGCACGACGGTTTGGTTTCCTGGCACTGCTGGGTGTTAGTGAGAGGAGTGATCAGGCCCATCCGCCTCCCTAACCTTGATCTTTCGACACTTGCAGTTGAGACAGCCTCCGCGAGATTTCTTATGAGAGCGGCGGGTGAGGTTCGGCGCCAGCGTGCGAGGTGTCTTCTTGGGCGGAGAGTCACGTCCCCTAGGCTCGGGCCAGGGTGCATGGTTGAATACTTCTTCAGCACTGTCCCCGTCAACGGGTGCACTAGTACCCCAGGAATAATGGGACATGATGGCAGCGGTCAGTTGCCCCCACTGCAGTCATCAAGACTGGCATGGGGAGCAGACCTCCTGCACCGAAGGACCTCGTCCAGGTATATATGCCAGTCATATTGGATCGACTGATGAGGAAGGCTCAAGGGCCCGCTGCAATTTAAAGATAGGTCTTGCCAAGCTGCCCGGAGGGGGCCAATAGCGATGCCTGGCCTGGGTAGCTAGGTAGGGCGAGGCGGAGTATTAGGCAGTTTCCGGGGATCGACGGCACCAGCAAAAACAACATGTCCCCTCATGTCCCCTTACTCTTAGCCCTTAGTACTTACTCGATACTAGTCGCTCTCGCTGTCAACTCTCTCACCTAGGCACCAGTCTTTGTCGCCCGTGCCAGTGACGCGGACCTGGATAATACGAAGCGCAGACAGGTCATGAGCCCATTCGATGCTGCTTCTGGAAAACAGTCCTCATTCAGCTCCAAAACCACATCTTCTCGCTTCGATGATATGCATGGAATGCGTCATTATGCGCCCTGCGACTCGTAATACCCAAAGGACACAGCCCCCGGGTCTGCCGTTCCTTCTGCTCGTTGCTACTGGGTTGACGTGGAAGATGTGTGGTCACGATTCTCGCCACATGCAGAACGAATTACTTGAAGTACTGGCTGTCATGCCAAGGATGCTTCCGACGATCTGGTTCAAGTCGTACAAGCTGTGATTTAGACTTGTATGAGAAGGTCCGAAGGTCCGTTCGTGTCGTGTTGGCTACCCCAGATAATGCACAGTTTGGTAAGAATGCTCAGTCGACACCTCTCCACTCGGTAAGCTTCGGACGATATGCCCAGTTTGGTATGAATGCTCAGTCGACACCTCTCCACCCTGTCAGCTTCGGGCGGTGAGCCACCCTGTCGGGTTCGCTTAGTCGATATGCTGTTGCCCAACGACAGACGTCAGCTTTCTTCGACACAATTCCTTCACCACTACGGAGTACAGTGATCAAGTTGATTGCGCGCTGTTTGACAGCGCCATTGAGGAGATAATTTGATCCATACTTTGTCCCGCAAACAGCAGACTGGGCTCACGCTCCTTGAGTGCAAAGCTGCTGGCTAGCCCCTCTCCCAGATTAGCAGACAATCTATGCGAATCAAAGACCGCACGTATGGACAACACCAATGATGCGAATAAAATACTGTCCCATATAGGCCAGAGCCTTGTCTATCTTTGTCGCATCTTCCAATCACAGCCTGATGTTAGCGATAAACACGCGGGGAGGAAAGAAAAGGTTCCGATATTGGGCACCGGTTCGTTTCATGTGGGCGGATTGCCTCTGCGATGTCAGAACAACAGAAGCAGGGTGCTTCGGTGGCTTTGCCTTGTCAGCCTAGAAGATTCTTTCCAGCAAGGATGCACAATGGGGCCAATATACCCACAGCCAATCGAGTGTCAGGCGCCCTAAGACCTTACGTTGAGTGCTTCGGTCTCTGCATATTGTCCTGCAACTTTGATTGGCGCGCGAATGCTCCAGTGAGGTGACTTCGCTAGAAGGAAAGAACAAAGCCATACATAGGCAAGCTGGCATGGACTTCGTCTTCATTCACACCGAAATAGATCTTGCAGCAGGATTGACAAGACCAATTCTGCACGCCTTCAATTGGTGCAGTATATTTATCTACAAGTCATAAGCAGAGCAGCATCTGGGGGACGTTACCATTGCAGGAAGCAACCTCAAACATCATCACCAGGCCAAGCACCTGTTAGTAATGTTCAGGAATTCATGAAACCGGGCAACGCCCACAAAAGCAACCTATCTTCCCACCACGGTCTTGAGGCTCAGCCCCTCGAGGAATCCGCCTAGATCCTCCTTCTTGACCTCAACCACACAGTGATCGAAACTATCGATCTTGACTCTTGCCTTCGTCTCCTCTACCACCTCTGTGAAGGCGATTCCGAATCGATTGCGCCCATATCCACGCTTCCGCCGCCTTTCTTGCTCCGCCACATCTTCAGCGTCATCCTCTTCGTCGGAAGAAGAATCCCCGTCCTCGCTCTCCTCTTCCTCTTCCTCGTCCCCGTCCCCATCTCCATCAAGCTCCCTTACAGCCTTCTCAGCGGCTCTATCAGCCTTTCTTTGCTCCTTCACCTTCCGCTTTTCCACTCTCGCCTTATCTTTTTCAGCTTTGCGCTCGGCCTTCTCCCTCTCCATCTCCTTATCAGCTCCAGTACTAACCCCGCCTATCCCGCCACCAGTTCCAACAACAACATAAGTCCCTCGCACTTCATCTAGCGCTGCAAGCACCAACGGCGTCGCACCATCTTTCCCTCCTTTTTTCTCCCTCTCACTGACCGCCACCGCCTCGCCAACCCATAATGCGAGCTTGACGAGCGCCGCGGGGCTGGAGGCAAAGAGAGAGAGATCTGGTCCATCCTTGACCACGCCCATCCTGAAAGCCCGCAGATGACGGATCTGGTGTTTAGCCAACAAGGATGATCCTGTGCGCAGGATCGACCTGAGAAGATGTTGAGCCAAGGGGATTGCATCGAGGAGTTTCGAAGGATGAGTCGGCGCCAGCACGTCGTAGGCAGCGAAGAAGCGAGGAAGGAGAGACGTGGAACGGTCTTCTGTTTCTCGGTCTGCGGTAGTCGAGATTTCGGTCTCGCCCTCCGCATTGCGAGCTTCTGACGAGGCCAAGGATGCCAGACCAGATGCACCAGGTTGTGTATGTCCGACTTCCAGTATAGCCCCTACAACCACACCGACATCCATTGCGGAGAGCTGAGCTTTCCAGCCCCAGCTCCTCACAAATCCCCATCCTTCATAATCTCCTGCCCCTCTGCCCGCTCCTTCTGGAACGAGGTCATCAAGCCCATATACTGCTGCGTACTTCAGCAAATTCTCCCTGAGGTTCTTTTTCAGACTGATGTCCATGTGGGTGTAGCTCTGCCTGCATTGGCTGAGACTGACGCCCATTTTCGCCAACAGCTTGTGCAGGCGTTTGATTCCAGTTTCATTCCAAAGATGTAGACGAGAGGCAAGATAGGGGGAATGCAACATGCTATCGTAGAGTGACCAATGACGGAGAAGAACGAAGCGAGGGTCCGGAGTCAAGCGGATAGATGTGTCAGAAGGAGAGGAGGCAGACGAATCTCTGCTGGAAGATAGGTTGAGGCGGCGCACTTCATCTCGCAGCAGGGCATAAAGGCGAGAAGACCGATTCATGCGCCATGACTGATGGTGGAAAGGTAATGCCTTGTTATGATGTGAAGAAGTCGATGTGCTGAGGCCGCAGGAAGTTTGGCCCGAGAGTTCGACCGATGAGACACCAACAATAGTCAACCAGAGAAGGTCGTTATCTTCTCGGCCGAGGTCGGAAGCAAGAGAGTACATGAGGGATGATATTGGTTCGGAGTATGAAGTACCAAGCTGGAAGTAGCCGTCCAATACTGACTCATGGGCGCGTCGAAGGCTAAGCAATCGACGTCGAAGACTTCTAGCAGAGGGCGCCTTTACAGCGGGCAAGCTTGGTGGTGATGACGAGCGAGATGATATCGATGAAGAGCCATGTCTTCGACGTGGTAGAGATGACATAGACGAACCTGAATTGCTTCTTCGTCTTTGTCTAGGCCGACCGTCCTCATGTTCACTTTCGTTTTCTTCATCTTCACGATCTGACCACGATTTCCTTTTTTTGTTCTGGGGACTGTCATGGGTGCCATCCTGTTCGTCGCTGCTGTCATCACTGTCGTCCTCCTGCTCTTCCACTTCCGGCATTTCAGCCAACGCATAATACGCGTCTCGCTCTGTGCTTAACTCCTCGTCAATGTCACCATCATCAAAGACCACAATACCTCCAGCGCCAGGCTTGTAAGACCTCTGTATTCGACCTTTGTCAACCCCGTAACCTTCTTTCCGAGCATTCCCATCTGGCGCCGACAGCACTTGTGACGATGGTTGTCCACCAAACACATTGTCAAGATTCCACGGACGCCTAGCATCAAGAACCCAGACCTCAATCCCATCTAGTCCGTCATGATGTTCGTTCGCCGTGTCCAGACCTAGCAACTCCCTCAAATCCACAAGTGCTCCGACCCCTAAACAGACAACAACACCGCCTGTGCCCCCTTCACTTGACTTCATGGGATGGATGAGCTCATTCGCGGCTCGAGTAAGGTCGCCATATCCCGAAACAGGCTGAATTTTGTGAGATATATAGTCTCGCTTGAACAACGCTGTCAATACTCTGCAAGCACATAATGCATCGGGTTCTAGAGCCGCAAGAATCAGGACTGGAGGAGAGAGTCGGTGGTGTGTCCGAAGCAGGTTGGTGTAGAGATGGGATATCAGGTCTCGCGGTAGGTACATGCTCAATGATTGCGCATTGATCGTGCCAGGAATCAGCAATCTATTGTGAAGCAGACAGATGGTCAATTGTGGCGAACAGTGCACATGATGGACTGGTTATTCCTTGGATCACAGCTTCAGTCAATATAGCGATCTATATCATAGCACTCTGTCTTGCTGTCGGTGTCGTTGTTGTCATGAAGTACGTTATTGCACTGGTTTTCCCGCCCGCAGACAAAGTAGACAAGCAAGTCGCGTCGCTATGGACGCGCCGAAGTACGCTAGCCTTAAACACTTTAGCCCCCATTACGTCATCCGCCATGAACTTCTCTGATTGTCTCTGGACAATCAATCTGCTTGAGTTCTCTCAACTCAATCTAACTTAGCAATGCTGGTTAAGAGCCTGCTGAGTTGGAACCCTGAATGCTTCCATCCAAATGAAGAGATGTCTTCGAACAAGGCTCACAAGAACTCGTAAAGCACATGCCATTTATGCTGACACAGGTAAGTGGAAACAATGATCCGTCTCCGGATGCAGCAGTTGAGTTTGTGTGCTGCTTTCTACGCTGCTGAGACTCAAAACATGAGAGATAATGCTTTCAACTTTTTCTTTGTCCATTCAGTGCTCCCTGATCCAATATCATGGCTTCTTCTTCAGGTAGCTCCTTAGAGCACCTATCCCCACTTTCTCCTATGTATGCCGTTGGTAGCACTGTAAAATGGCAGAAGAGGATGCTCGCTACCCATTTGTCCATCTGGGTGACCTTGATGATACCCCGCAAACCTGGGAGCAAGTTAGAAGGCGCGAAGCAGGGCTGAAAAAGAACTTCAGTATCAATGAGCTTCGCGCACTTCTTGAATACCATGCCTATGGTTTTCAGTTCACGAGACCTCCTGCTCGAAAGCAGAACTACATTGATCTCCTGCACAAGACGCTATACTACACTCAAACAGGTTTAGCGAATGAGGCAGCCTTCACAGAACGAGGCATTATCTGTGCTGGACCCGTGGGCCCAGGAACGATCTCAAAAGATGTCCGAGATGCCAAGGGCCTTCCAAGCTGGTACTTGAATGAGGAAGCTGCGCTGGGTAAGATTCAGCCACATCTGTCGCTACGTTCAGTACCTGGTGACAGCCAAAGCAAGCCTGGTGCAAAAGCTGTATGCTATGAAATTGCTCCGGAAAGACCATTGTACTCGGACGCGAGTCAGATCGCTAATGAGAATCTAGCTCATCCACAAAAATCTATGTCCGTGGACACTGTACCCTCAAAAGATCCCCCGGCCACTCGCAAACCATCAGATGCCTCGGAAGTTCATAATTCCACAGAGAGCCGGCAGACTATCATGATATCTGATGATACTGACGATATCCCTGTCCATTCTAGGGCTGCTAATATAACAACCGAAAAGCGTTACGCTGATAAGCGTATTTCGCGCATGACTACAGAGCACGTCCAGAAAGCCCTCACTGCTGTCGCTTATTCTGGGCTTCAAACTGTTCCTCGTGCGTTTTTGCATCCTACGCCTTTCCTTCTCGCTACCAAAGACAGAGATCTTCTGGAATCCTTGACGCAAAAGAGCGTTGCTACTTTACATGTTAATGTAAGGTTCGTTGGCAATGAGAAGTACAGCATCGTCGAGGATGGTGATAGCCTTAAGTATTGTGGCCGGGGTCCTATATGGAAGGATAATTCGTGCTTCTGGGATTCAATCATAGTCTCGTGTCGCATGCTCAATGCAGGTTCGACCTATCTTGATCGAGGAGTCTTGCCAGGCGCTTGGGAGGATGAGCTCACAACAATCCAACGGGCATTTCTGGACGTGCTCCGAATGGATTGGGACTTCTTTGATGAGAGAACCAGCTTTGCACAACGAGACATGTTCTTGGAACTCTTCCACCGCGAATCGAGCGATGAAGGAATCAAGCCCAAACCTAAACCCAAAGGCGAAATGGACTCGCCTGCAGCTCGCTGGAACGATATTGCTGGGCCATTCAACCAGTTCTCCTTCCGAGCCCACATACGAAGCCAGCCGTGCAGCTGTCAAAATCGAGGTCCAAGCTGCACGTCGACAAAGGATATGCGCTACATCACTCCCCCGTATCGAGAACCTGACAGAAAGGGCGTCACCATTAGCAATCTTCTCCAGCGCTGGTCGCATTTCATCCGGCCACATTGTTCACGAGGAGGTAGGAAGACGACAAATGTCATCCACGGCAATCTGCCTCTTCGACTGGTGGTGCAAATCACAGCCGGTACCAGGCTCTTGGATCACACCTCTCAAGATATATCGTTTTCCTACACCAGGATGGATCCAGCCTCGGGCAAAGAGTCCCCTGAACATGTATGTTACAGGTGGCTAGGAGGTATCTACTGCTCCGGAGCCCATTTTCGTGTCTACTGGAATGACTCTGCTTGGGGTGCTAAGATTGTAGAGAGCCTTCAAGTATACGACGGAAGACAAGCAGCCGGCGCCATCATTGGTAATGTACCTCCAGCCAGTGAGTTAGAGCCAATTCCCGGTTACTGGATGAAGTATTGCCCACCACTTCTGTTCTACGAACAAGTCGTCAATCCTGATCCTCTCGCACTGGAAGCGGCACAAGCTGTCATTACTGAGATAGTCATATCGCAGTCTCAGCGATCAGCCTTTCCACGCACCTTTTTCCCTCCATCCTCAGACAGCGCACCAAGCACCATCCCCGTAAATGCTTTGTTACCCCATGAGCTGCCAGAAGCGGTGCTGAAGGTTAGGGGTCCTTCAACAGCCTTTCATGATCATCCAAAGACATCGAAACCACCTCTCCCTACTCCTCCAAAAACCCCAGGTCCTCCCAAAACCCCAGGGCTTCGCAGGAGTCAAAGACATGCAGCTTCTTCTGATTCCCACAGTTCGCCACCGATATCGTCCAGCGGCTCGCCAAGGAAAAGGCCCAATGACTGCATACCAGGGTCTGTAAAAGTGGCAGGAGATGGCGCACAAGATTCTCCGATCAAGATATCGAGTTCATCGTCGACCTCAAGCAATGATCGAAAGAGGAGGAGAGGCTGTAAGCGATAGCATCACAGATTGAGAATCAATTGTGTCAAGTTCCGAAGCACGAAGAGATGAAGAGAAGTGTACATAGTCAGATGTAAGAGTCAAGTAAGAGTACGGACCCCGTATGTCTTTGGCAGATTGAATTTTCCAATCTACATCCTGAAAATAGAAAGATCTTGATCCCTCGATAGAATAAATAACACTAAGGTCGTAAAAATCTGCCCTCCATATATTCGTTGTAGACGGACAAAAACGCAAAAGGAGAATCTACCGCCTACTACCCCGGTGGTAGTTTGACCTGAATAGCTTTTACTTTTGTCGTTTATTGTCGTCGTCGTTGTTATTATTGCTGTCAGTCGGAGGAGGTGTGAGTTAATAATGCTTCCGGTCGGCGGCATGCTGATTCGAACTCATCTGCTGATTGATCGTTTTCCCGTGGCGCAGATGCCTTCTACCACCGAATTGGTAGTTTGACCCGACTGCGCCAGGGGAGCTGGTGTGACAGAATTGGTAAATCCAAACAATAATAATAATAATAATAATCACCAACTTGTGTTTTTTGCCCCGGGGGGGAAGGGTTTTGCGGCGTTAGGAGGGATCGGATGTGCTTCATGACCAGCCATTTTTCTTCTCCAATATCTGTCTGTCCATCCAAAGGGCTCTCACCATCCCCCATCGGAACGAGGACGAGATCCGAGCAGGACCCCTCCCCCTTATCAGCTCCTCAGTTAGTTAGTTCTCCTTCTTCCCAAAATAATTCCCCAGCGTATTCTTCTGTATCCTCGCCGCGCCGCCGTCGCGCCCG